GCTCCACCCAGGAACTCCCAGGAGAAATGAGCCTGGTGCAGTCCCCAGGAGGACCCAGTGGCACCAGTGTGGCTCTAACTGGGTAACTGGGTCAGGCCCCACATCCTGGATTAGTCCCAGCAGGTTTGTCTCAACCTGGCCAGGATGAGTCAGCCCCAGCACCAGATGTTCCTTCTGAGCCGATTATTGATCCTCTGTAACCCTTTCTCCTCCAAACCCTCTGGAATTGCTCTGGAATCCCTGGAGCAGAGCAGATTCTCCATCCTTTGGGCCACCCCTGAGGGCTCCCAGATGTTGGTCCCAATTGCAGCAGGGAGGAGGAACAATGGGAGCAGGATTTAGGTGCTTACACGGCTGCTCTGTGCATTAACAGCCAAATCCCCTTGTTTCTGGTGACATATCTGCCCTAATCCCACAGGAATCAGCAAGGCCATGGATTAGGTGAGGGCTTGGGACACACTAAAACCTGGCTTTCCTTGCATGGATGTGCTGAGATATCCCTGATCCTGGGGCACTGTGCTGGAATTGTGGATAACAATGGACAGGAGACAGTTTTATTGTCCTTCCATGCTCAGGGAAACCTTATCCAAGAGAAAATGGAACATTTGGGACAGGGCTGTTTCACAACAGGTCCCTTGCTGTCCTCCCCAGGCAGGACCAGGCCACATCCAGCCCTTCCTTTTATTTTCCTTTTATTTTTCTCCCCCCACCTCATTCTTTGAAATGCAAATTTGGACACAGAATCCCAGTTTTCTGTAAATAATTCAGGGGCTGCACAGCAGCAGAGCCCAAACCAGCCAGGGTGGCTCCTGGCAGCACCAATCCAAGCAGATCCAGTGATGGAGCTGCAGATCCTGAGCTTCATCTCAGGATTTTCCCACCATCCCACACTGAGCACTGGGAATCTGGAGAAATTCCTGAGAATTCAGAGGATTCCTGCTCTCCTGCCTGGCCAGGAAGCAATTCCCACTGTGGCCTCAATTCTTTCCTGTGCCCAAAGTGAATCATTTGGGTTCAGGAAAAGTTATTTGTATTTATAAACCAGGAAAAGTTATTTGTTTTTATAAACCAGACATTTCCCATACTGACAGGGATTTTTGCCCACCTTCAGCAAAGCAGCTGCAGGTTCCTTCAGTGCTGAATTCCCATGTGTTGCCCTGTGTTATAAACTAGAAAACCTCTGTGGAAAACTCTCCTTGCCTGTCCTTGAACTCATGGAAATTCAAGTTAAACCTCCAGCTCAGGGATCAGAGGTGGCTCCAGAGCACTGACACCCATTTCCACGTGGGATCTCCCAAATTCCTGCCGTGCCAGCAGTTCCACAGGGCTGATTTTACCTCCTGGTGTTGTGGATGGTGGTGCCCCCCAGCACGATGCGGACGCCGGGGTTGGAGCGGTTCAGGTTGAACACAGCCAGAGCCTCCTCGTAGGTGGCCCCTCCAATGAGGAACACGATGATGTCCTGAGGCCTGGGATAAAAGCACAAATCATGGAGTGGTTTGGCTGGAAGGGACCTAAAAGCTCTCAGGGACACCCAGCAGAGCAGGTGGATCCAAGTCCTTGGACACTTTCTGGGGTGGAGGAGCCACAAACATTGAGGTGGGATCAGACAAAGCCAAGGATAAATCCTGCACTTTGGAGGCAGATCCAGGATCCTGAGGGTGCCTCCTTTAAAGAATTCCCTCATTCCTGATGTGCTGGGCTCAGAGCTGAAAACAATCCACTGAATGCCCCAAAACCTCTCCTGAACTTTCACCCAGAGCCCTGAGCAGCCTCCAGCAGCAGCACCCCGATCCCTGTGGATCCACGTGCCATGTTTAATGCATGATCTGCTGGGGCTGGGAAATCAGGATCAATTCTGGAGTCAGGTGGATCCAAGCCCCGACCAACCTGGCCTTGGACAATTTCTGGGATGGAGCAGACACAAACATTGAGTTGGGATCAGACAAAGCCAAGGATAAATCCTGCATTTTGGAGGCAGATCCAGGATCCTGAGGGTGCCTCCTTTAAAGAACTCCCTCATCCCTGTGATGAGGAGCTGAAAACAATCCACTGAATGCCCCAAACCTCTCCTGAACTTTGACTCCAGCAGCAGCACCCCGATCCCTGTGGATCCACATGCCATGTTTAATGCATGATCTGCTGGGGCTGGGAAATCAGGATCGATTCTGGAGTCAGGCAAGGACACAGAGCTGCCTTGGAGCTCCAGGCTGATCAGGAAGTGCCAGGATTTGTGCCTCAGTTCACCTGAGGGGACATTTCCCAGCCAGCAGGGAGATGTGGGATTGTTGAGAGAAGCCAAGAGGAAGGGGGAAAGGAGGGAAGCTCCTTTCTCTATCCCAACACAAACTCAGTGTGCTGTGCACATCCTGCTTTCCAGTGAGCTGCTCCTTCCCTCTCCTGTAACCACCCTCCCAACCCCTTGGAAGGACCAACACCAGGCATTTCCTTCTTGGATCACTGCAAGGACAGCATGACCTGGAGCAGAGCTGCTCCTGCCTCCTCTGCTGGGTGAGGGCTTCATCCTTCACCTGAGGCACCCATCAGGAATGGCACATGTGAGCCAGGGTGAGGCACACCCCAGTCTGGGAACATCCCTGGGGATACAAGACCTCTACAACCAAGAGATTTCTGTGCCAATCCCCAGCTCTGTTCACCATCAGTCCCATCCCACTGTGGGGACAGTGTTGGGGACAGCAGGGATGTCCCAGCTGCTGTGTCCCAGTGCAGGCTGTGCCCCACGGGCCCCACGTACCTGTCCCGGAGTGTGTTGGGGCCCAGGTAGGGATATTGGCTGTCCTTGAGCTTCCCCTTGATGAGCTGGTCCAGGGTTTCCTGGAGCAGGGGCTGGTGCTGGGTGTACACATTCTCAATGCCCTGTGGCCAGACAGAAGCTCTTTAGGAAGTGGCCCAGCAAGGGAGGAGGATCAGCAGAGGCACAGCAGGTTCTAGCCCTGAATTTAGAAGTTCTCCATGTTGTTCTCAGTGCAATCAGGCCCTGAGTGCATTCCTGCCAGCCCTGCTCCTCCTCTGGGCTGCAGTTTTGAGCCTGTCCCCGTTTCCCCAAGGAATCTTGGTACCTTGAGGCCTTTGAGGAACTGCTTGGTGATGGCCACGGCGTCCTTGGGGCTGAACAGGTCGCTGCCCCGCACGCGCTTCCCTCCGTACTCCACCACGGCAGACACCAGCTGTGCAGGGAGAGGGCACAGCCCGTCAGCCTGGCACCCCCTCCAGGGGTGAGGATTCACTGCAGACACCCCTCGGGGACAAGGAGCCGTGGAGATGATCCCAATGGAACCACACACGGAGGTGAGGGGGCAGAGCAGCAGCACCCCCGCGTCCCCCAGCCCACCCCGACCCTCCTGCTGGAGGAGAAGCTTCATCTCCATCTCCATCTCCATCGCCTGCAGCAGCTCCTCCACACGAGCTGACATCATCCCTCTCCTCCACCTCCTCCCCAGCTGCTCCTGGCACTGCTGCCTGTTCCTTCCCTGCCAGCTCCTCTCCATCCCCAGCCCCTGCTGCAGCCACTGCTGGTGCTGCAGGAGCTGGGCAGAGAGGGGGAGGAAGAGCAGAGAGGAAGCACAGCCCAGGCCCACGGAGGTGCCACACTCCCCTCCCAGCAGGCTCCTGCCATCCCTGCTTTATGAAATCCTTCAGAATATCACGGAATCAGTGACTGGTCAGGAGTGGAAGGGACCTCTGCAGTCCAACCCCCATTCAGTAATTCCTGGGCTGCAGGGCTGGACTTGAACCCCAAAGCAGCTGGAGTCCTTCTGCCTCATTTCCACTGATTTAGGGAACGGAAATGGAGTCACATAAAACACCTTTTAAAGCCACACCCACAGGTCCCAGGTGAGCTCTGTGCAACAGCACAACCCTGGGCTGATCTGGGGCAGGCAGTTTCATCCCAAACAGCAGAGATTCCCTCATCCTGTGGGACATCGGGGGATCTGCCCCATCCTGGGGTTACCTGGTGGTACCTGGTGGGGGTTACTGGTGGTACCTGCCCCCATCCTGTGGGACACTGGGGTACCTGCCCCACCCCAGGGTTACCTGGGAGTACCTGCCCCCATCCTGGGGTTACCTGGTGGTACCTGCCCCACCCCAGGGTTACCCCAGTACCTGTCCTCCCTCCTGCGCCACCCTGGGCTTACCTGCCCCTGTCCTACCCCACCCTGGGGTTACCTGGCAGTACCTGCCCCTCCTCCTGCCCTACCCCAGGGTTACCTGGTGCTACCTGCTCCCCATCCTGCCCCACCCTGGGGTTACCTAGCCCATCCTGCCCCACCTCAGGGTGACCTGGCAGTACCTGC